CTTGAGCCCAGGAGTTGGAGGTTGCTGTGAGCTGTGCTGCCACGGCACTCTACCCAGGGGGACAGCTTGAGGCACTGTCCCCCCCCCAAAAAATAATTCAAATCTCTGAACTCCTGAACCAGTATTCTATTTTGTGTATCTGCTATGTGCTATTCAAATAAAAGGGAATATATACAAACACACACAAAAGTATGTCTCAAAATTGTATATAGATCTCATTCCAGAGAAGGAATTCTGTGTTTTCCGATAAACCCTGTCCCCTCCCTACCCCAGATACAGTCTCACTCTTTCGCCCTGGGTAGAATCATGTGATATCATGGCTCACAGCAACCTCAACTCCTGGAGTCAAGCGATCCTTCTTGCCTCAGCCTCCCAAGTAGCTGGGACTACAGTCATCCGCCACTAATTTTTCTATGTCTGATAAATCCTTTTTGTAGTGTTCAAAAAAAAAGTTACAGCCAGGCACAGTTGCTCATGCCTGTAATCTTAGCACTCTGGGAGTCTGAAGCAGGTGCTTCACCAAGCTCAGGAGTTTCAGACCAACCTGAGCAAGATCAAGGCCCCATCTCTACTACAAATAGCAAAATTAGCCAGGCATTCTGGCAAATGCCTGTAGTCCCAATTACTTGAGAGCCTGAGGCAAGAGAATCCATTGAGCCCAAGAGCACAGGGTTGCTATGAGCTATGACGCCATGGCACTCTACCCAGGGTGACAGACTGAAACTTTATCTTAAAAAAAAAAAAATTACCATTAGCCTAATGTGAGCAACTGTAAGTAAGAACACAGAGTATACATAGCAAAGGGTGGAAAATTTACTACAAAGATAATTACTGGAAGACGTCTACTACAAAGAGTTGGAATATCTGGCACTGAAGTAGGGATTACAGCTTATTTTCTATAATCCTGATGGTAAAAGACAGTAAAGAAATGTTTGAAATTAAGATCAATTTATCAAAGACCACCATCAGTCACTAAAGTATCAAATGAAGACACTGCCCTATAATTTAGTCTTATCCTTTGCCAACTAAAGTTCAGATTCACACTTATGTTTGAAAAGGTAATTTAGCTCTTCAGTAACACGAAAAAAGATTTCCTGACAACATACCAGATTTTAAATATACTTTCTGCACACAACTCCAAAGAATATCAGTATGTTTTTAGAAATATCTATCTCAATGTTCACATGTAAACACCAAAAACTCAGAAAGAGTCTACTATAAAAAGAATGATAATATTCAATTCCTTCACCTGCCTACCAACCAAGGTACATAATCACAAGTCCAAAATCCAATATACAGATATGAGTTGAGCACTAAGCTGTTAAGTATACTTCAAAATTAAAATCTCTGGTAAAATTATCTTTTTAAGAACAGTAAGAATACAAAATGATAATATCCTTGACCAAAAACATACCTGTTTAACTTTAGTTTCAAAATCTGAATCATTTTTTTCAAAGATCACTTGAGCGAGACGCATCTGTTCTGCTGTTGCCTGGAAAGCACACACAATTGTTAAAAATTTGAACATCAACAATTTAAGTTAGATGCCAAAATAAGAGTCAAATAGATAAAGCTCCCATAGCACTATGATAATAGAAAACATTGATTAACCAGAAAAACAAAAGGATCTTGAATTTAGGCCTCTCAACTGAATACAAACTGGTCCCACAGGAAAAATTAGTGAAAAGGACCCATTTCCTTTGGCCAAAAAACATAAAGATCTTGTTCATCTTAACTGGCCACATGGCTTTTTTTTTTTTTTTGAGACAGAGCCTCAAGCTGTCCCCCTGGGCAGAGTGCCATGGCATTACAGCTCACAGCAACCTCCAACTCCTGGGCTCAAGCGAGTCTCCTGCCTCCGCCTCCCAAGTAGCTGGGACCACAGGCGCCCGCCACAACACCCGGCTATTTTTTTTGGTTGCAGCCATCATTGTTGTTTGGCGGGTCCAGGCTGGGGATTCGAACCCGCCACCTTAGGTGTACGTGGCTGGCGCCTTAGCCGGTTGAGCTATAGGCGCCGAGCCCACATGGCTTATTTGAATTTTCTTTCCTCTGGGGCTTTGGAGAAAATGAGCACAGAGGAAGTAGACCAAGAAGCAACAGAAAGAACAGTCCAGACATTGGTACCAGGCCTAGTGTCAAAAAAGCTCTGCTGTCAGCTCCGAAAAGTTATCCTTGTCAGTTGTGAAGAGAAAAGAACGTACTTAAAAAATACTTTAAAACTATTTTTAAATACTTCAAGTATTTAAAATTCTAAAATTTTTAATTAAAAAAAAAAAAAGAAACTTGGCTCAGCACCTTAGCTCAGCAGCTAGGGCTCCAGCCACGTACACAGGAGCTGGTGGGTTCAAACCCAGCCCAAGCCTGCCAAACGACGACAACTACAACCAAAAAAAAGAAAAATAGTCAGGCATTGTGGCGGGCACCTGTAGTCTCAGTTACTTGGGAGGCTGAGGCAAGAAAATCACTTCAACCCAAGAGTTTGAGGTTGCTGTGGGCTGTGACACCAAGGCACTTGACCGAGGGTGACACAGTTCAGACTCTGTCTCAAAAAACAAAAAGAACTTTGGGATGTGGAGAAAAGGGAACACTTTTACACTGCTGGTGGGACTGCAAACTAATACAGCCTTTTTGGAAGGAAGTATGGAGAACCCTCATAGAACTCAAACTAGACCTCCAATTTGATCCTGCAACCCCTGGCATCTACCCAGAAGAAAAAAAATCCTTTTACCATAAGGACACTTGCACTAGACTATTTATCACGGCTCAATTTATAATTGCCAAAATGCAGAAACAGCCTAAATGCCCATCAACCTAGGAAAGGATTAACAAGCTGTGATATATGTACACCATGGAATACTATTCAGCCATTAAAAAAAGACAGAGACTTTACATCGTTTGTATTAACCTGGATGGAAGTGGAACACATTATTCTTAGTAAAGCATCACAAGTATGGAGAAGCAAGAATCCTATGTACTTAATTCTGATATGAGGACAATTAATGACCTAGTACACAGTGGGGGGTGGGGGAAGGGGAGATCAGAGAGAGGGAAGGAGCGAGGAGGGTTGCGGGGGTCATAGTGTGTGACACACTTTTGGGGGGCGGGACACAATTATAAGAGACTTTACTTAACAACTGCAATCAATGTAACCAGGTTCTTTGTACCCTCAATGAATCCCCAGCAATAAAAAAAAGGAAAGTTTGAAATGCTAATATTAGTCACCCATGCATGCAGAAAACTTTTAGTTTTTTTGGGTTTTTTAAGACAGTGTCACTTTGTTGCTCTTGCCTCAGCCTCTCAAGTGGCTGGACTACAAGGGCCTGCCAGAACGCCTGGCTATTTTTGAGAAATGGTGTCTCACTCTTGCTCAGGCTGGTGGTCTTTAACTCCTGAGGTCAGGGAATCCACCCTCCTTGGCCTCCCAGAGGTCTAGGATTATAGGCGTGAACCACCCTGCCAGGCCTCTAGGTACTTTAATTCAAAATTGTTTTTTAAAAAATTACCAGCCCAGGGTTTGGCGCCTATGGCTCAAGTGGCTAAGGCATCACCTAAGGTAGCGGGTTCGAATCCAGCCCCGGCCCACCAAACAACAATGATGGCTGCAATCAAAAAATAGCCAGGCGTTGTGGTGGGCGCCTGTAGTCCCAGCTGCTTGGGAGGCTGAGGCAGGAGACTTGCTTGAGCTCAGGAGTTGGAGGTTGCTATGAGCTGTGATGCTACAGCACTCTACCCAGGGGGACAGCTTGAGGCTCTGCCTCAAAAAAAAAAAAAAATTACCAGTCCAGGCCAGGCACGGGAGCTCACGCCTGTAATCCTAGTACCCTGGGAAGCAGAGGTGGGTGGACTGCTTGAGTGCACAGATTTGAGACCAGTCTGAGCAAAAACAAGACACCAGGGCAGCACCCATAGCTCAATGGGTAGGGCACTGGCCATATACACTGAGGCTGGAGGGTTCAAACCTGGCCTGGGCCAGCTAAAACAACAACGACAACTCCAACAACAACAACAACAAAAAAAGCCGGGCATTGTAGCGGGCACCTGTAGTCCCAGCTATTTGGGAGGCTGAGGCAAGAGAATCACATAAGCCCAAGAACTTGAGTTTGTAATGAGCTGTGATGCCACAGCACTCTACTGAGGGTGACATAGTAAGACTCTGGCTCAAAAAAAAAAAAAGGCAAGACCCCATCTCTACCAAAAATAAAACAAATGAGGTGAAGATTGCTTGAGCCCAAAAGTTGGAGATTACTGTGAGCTGTCATGCCACAGCACTCTACCAAGGGTGACATAGTAAAGACTCTGTCTCAAAAATAATAATAAAATAAAAATAGAAAAATTAGCCAGGCATTGTGGCAGTTGCCTGTAGTCCCAACTACTTGGGAAGCTGAGGTAAATGGATAGCTTGAGCCTAAGAGTTTGAGGTTTCGTGAGCTAGGACACACCAGCACTCACCCCAGGGTGACAGAGTAAAATAGTATCTCAAAAAAAAAAAAAAAAAAGGTGTTGAATGACTTAATGGTAGCATGCGATTAGGTTTCTTAGTTTTGACTAAGTCACTACAACTATGTAAAGAGGGAAAATTAGGTCAGGAGTATACAGGAAGGCTCTGTACTACCTCTATATAACTTTCTAGTAAATTTAGAATTACTTCAAAAGGCTTTTTTTTAATTAATTGCCCTTAACTAAAGTCTACGCTAACTTCCAAACAAAAATATTTTAAAAGCTAAACATAGATTACTGAATGATCTTAGAGAAAAAATGCCATAAGGATCAAATAGCTTTTCTTCTCATGTTTTAATACATATTCATTTCAAACAATCTTGAATAAAGTGGAGGAATGGGAGGAGGTTGTTGGCATTTTTTGTATTATAAAGCACTTTTTCTTTCACAAGGCCAAACCAGTCCATGGGAGTGGATGATTATACAAATTCCAGCTGCTTTGGCCTAAATAGAGCTATTGGCCTGTTCATTCCAACCTAAGCCTGCTAGGACCCCAGTTTAACTGCTGCAGCATTGCTACATTATATCCAAAACTGCATTTGTAAAGAAACTCAGTGTCTTCACTACTAAAAATTTTATTGCAATCCATCCCATTATACACATGAGGGCCTTACATACACTCTCACTGTATCTACCTGCATATCAGACAATCATTTATTTCCCTAACCTATAACCAAGACATCCAAGTGCAGCAGACAAAAAGATAAGCGGCATGATAAAAGGGAAACCAAAGGGGAAGAAGGTATGTTCTTAAAACATGGTACCTTCGGCTCGGCGCCTATAGCTCAACCGGCTAAGGCGCCAGCCACGTACACCTAAGGTGGCGGGTTCGAATCCCCAGCCCGGACCCGCCAAACAACA